TTCCAGTTCTCCCTTTCAGTTTCTTGCGAAACACCCTTTTTCCTCCTCCCCGGCCTGTCTGCCTGGCTAGAGGTATCCTATCCCTATTTGCCATGGAGTTTGCATAGTTCATAAGCTTGAGTTGGGAGAAATTATTCTGCTTATGAAACAACCACAAGCTATTGGGATATTGCTTGTCATAATTATGGACCTGAGCCTACACATACAGCCTTGGCAAACTTACAGCCTACAGATCTACGGTGTCCCTGGGTTAGAGGTAGAGATATTCTACCTGTTAAATTCAAATATCTGAGGGTATTAAAGTAAATACCGCTCTCTCTACAGGTCTTGTCAAAGCAGAGGACAAGGCAAAAGCCCATCGAGCCAAGAAATTGGAGGGAAACACCAACGTGGAGGAACTGAAAAAGAAACCTCCAGGAGCTGGTGTGAAGAAGGAAACAGCTGTTCACCTACCAGCAGGTGAGGCCGGTGGGGGCAAAGCACAGGCAGCAGGTCTGTGTGCAGCTGAGCTGCTTTCCTGTGCTCTGCTCCAAGCCTGCACAGTCCCCACCTTCCTGTCACCATCCCCATCTTCAGCTTCAGGTTGTGGTCCCTGCACCCTTCCTGGCCCAGCAGGCTGTTTGCTGGGTGACTTTTCTAGCAGTTTTGTCAGGAGAAGCAGCACAAATTCAGAAGTAGGAGCATGCAGCTCCTGCCCTTTTGAGGTACAGCACAGACGTGGGAACAGCCACTGCTCCTAAAATCTTGGTGCAGCCACTGTTTACATCCTGAGGGGCAACTTAGCTTCGCTTCACTGCCAGGTCAGCACGATGGAAGTGCTGGGAGTTGAAAGCCCAGTCCCACCTGGCTTCACTATGACCACAGGTTGGGTCAGCATGTGGGATGATGGCATTTTTCTAATATCATCCCCATGAATGCTGCCAGTGCATAACTCTGGGCCTGATTATGCCTTCTCCGAGGTGCAGCCTACACCCCAGCACAGGTTGCTTGCTTTCCCTGGGAGCTCTGACAGCAGGAGGAACGCAGGATGTGCAAGATAAACACAGCTGCAGCGCCTTGCACAGCTTTCAAATTCAAATAAACGACTCTCTGATCTCACAGCCATGCAAAAGCATCCAAATAAACAGACTTGGAGGATTTTATTCAGCTTGGGCTTCCCTTGCTGGAAGCCTAGTGCTGTTCTGCTGAGAACACAGCGTGAACTCTGGACCTGGGAGCAGGTTTTGGCCCCACATATCTCTTATTTTGGGTGGTTTTTAAGCTAGTCACAGTCATTCAAATAAACAAATGCCTGGAAGCCAGCAGTCTCCTAGCTGTCTCCGTGTCTGCCAGGAAGAGGTTTGCCAGGGAAGCTTTCCAGGCACACGTCCGGATGGAGCTGATGTGCTCACCTTTGTTTCACTCCCACTAATTGTTTCGTTTGGCAGGGGAAAGTTTTTCCAAGCAGGGCAAGATCAGGTGGCTGGGGACATCATCATGTTTTAACTCCCAACATGCAGGATACCAGCAGGGTTGGAAAGATGAACCTCCTTTTCCCAGGTCAGCAGGTCTGGTAACTCCACATAAAGTGACCCAGTGACCCAGTTTGCTCAGGCAGCTGCAAGAGTGTGGGGCAGGCAGAGCTGCAAGGGCCTGTGTGGTTAGTGTCCAGTTTTGGCTTTACCTGGGAGAGTATTTCTCTTTTTTTTTAACATGAAGAACTTTCCCCGCTTCACTGCTTTTCAGCTTATCAAATCAAGATTTACAGAGGGCTGTCCTCTGCCCAGAAGCCCGGGCAGGTTTGGTGTAATCTCTCTCTCCTCTCCCTTTCCAGCAAACCCCGAGGACCAGTGGCAGCGAGAGATCAGCGAAAAGGGCGAAGTTTCCTGTCCAACTTGCAGTGTTATAACCAGGAAAACTGTTGTGGGGCTCAAAAAGCACATGGATGTCTGCCAGAAAGTAAGGCCTTGCTTTATTCACACACTTGGATTTTGGATGGGAATGGATGTATACATGTGCCACTCATAAATGTCTATTAGTGCTCTTAAAACCAGATCAGGGCTGTGTTTGACAGTACTTGGTCATCTGCAGATTGCTTGGCTGCCTCACATCAATTCAGAGGGATTTGGACACTAATACTCAGTGATTCTCAATCCCTTTGTGGTCTGGGCCACTTGCCTCAGTGTCTCCAGCAGAGTTGGATATTTCTAGTAGCTAAACAAATAGTTTTAAGGCTGGAGAGATTGTTGGGGTTGTTTCTAATCTGGCCTCCTCTGAAGCCCTGGCTGTGGGGTTTCGCTGTGTGCTGTGCCTTGCATCGGGCCAGATAAATAGTGGTTGCATGAGAGCACGTCTCGAGGAGACTCCAAGCCTGGATGTGCTCAGGCAGGCTGTCAGGACACAGCAGTTCAGTAATGGTACAGTGAAAAATTGTCTCTCTGCCACACCACTATCCATCAGAGCGCAGGATTATGTCTTCATCCGTCACCTGTCGCGGTGCAGAGCTGTCGCCACAGAAAGCCAAGGTGGGATCGATGCCTCCTGCTTTGAAAATATGTGGCTGAGCTTTGATTCCACATTCGTTTTCTGTAAGTGCCTCCCCAGCTTTAGCCTCACTATTTATACAGCAGTAGGAGGCTACTCTTCCTTTCAGACACTGTACTACAGCGATGCTGGGCATAATCCTGCCTCCTCCAATGTCCTCCTGGCCTCAAAGGAGTGAGGATCTTGGCC